CTCTATGCATGCGCCCCTCCCTATGCCCCTGCACGCGGGGCCCTTTTCCTGTTTCGCTGTCTTCGCAGTTCCATTGGGGATACGTCTTCTTATAACCACAACAGTCACTGTGGCTATCCTCAAAATTTCTATAAAAACCTTTTTTTTTTTTTTTCAACAAGCTTTTCCGTTTTGCTAAAATAGGTTTTCCTCAAAGTTGTGGTGACATATGAGCCTCGAGTCACATTGCGTTTGACCGAAAATAGTTTTCTATGGAAAACATTGTGGACTTTGACAAACTGGACTTTTTTCTTGGTCCACTTTAAATTTCACGAATAGCTTGTTCAAAGAAGTTTATTCAAGCTGCTAGGTTCTTTCTGATCTCATGTCGTGTGCAGGAAAATATAGATTTTGGGCCTTGCACTAGTACTCAACATTTTACGTGTATCTTGACAGTATCTGGACCATGTACGGTTGGTGTGATCCAACATTTTGAATGTATGAGGACCATTTCCAGTTCCAGATGCATTTGGAATATTGTGCAAGGTAGTGAGGTTCATTGTCATTTACGGAAAACCCCTAGTTTTTTATTGTTTGCACCTTAAATTTGTCCTTTGTCTCAGACCAGGCATGATGATTCGGATTCCATCTGGCGAGCAACGATTTATATTTTTCTATTAAAAATCTCTATATCCTTTTTTTTGGATAAGAAGGGGGACTACCTTCAACAGTACGTTTCGCAGCCATTTTTCAGAAATGTGTCGTGCATGCTGGTGCGTCGGGCGGAATGTATCAAGGTGCCGTTTCGCCACAAATCTATTCAGGCAAAACTGATAGGGCGAAATGGCAACCTGGTGCATCCCGCCTAGCACGACGCATTTCTGCAAAATGGCTGGGAAACGTACTGGTGGTTTAAGGTATCATCATCCAACTGACCGAGCCCAGCTAATTCACAGTTATTTCATTATTCATCTGAGTCTACCAGGTTTCGAACTTCGGTCTGTTTATCGACGAGTTCAGCAGTTGGACATCATCAACATGGAGTGCTTGTCGTGGACACCGAAAGAGCCTGTGACGCTGGTGGTGCTTGAGATTCCGCAGTCAAAACCGAGATGATAAGATGACGTTGGTGGAGGCGGCGTAGGAGCAGGAGAGCAGCAGCTGCAGCAGACGATGAAGAAGAAGAACAAGAAGAAAATGGGGTCTACGGAGGTGTCACGGCATAAGTTGAGCATCTTTGAGTGGACAGAAGATACAAAGGAACATATCGAGCTCATTCGGAAAGCTAAGTTTCGGGTAGGAGTGCCGAAAATAATGGATGGCGGAGCATCGGACGCTCTGGCGCACTCACTGCTGACAGATTTGCACGGTGCTTGCGCCCATCTCTCGGAAATGCTGTATCAGAAAGACACACACTTCATCCTTGAGTTGATTCAGAATGCGGAAGACAATACCTACCCGGACGATGAACGACCATCACTGATGTTTGTCTTAGGAGAGGGCGATCCAACGGTCGAAGGGGGAGCAGAGGTCGATCATCAGAGCCCAAGAACAATAAACAACAACTCCATGTGCCAACTGACGTTGGCCGTCTACAACAACGAGTTGGGGTTTCAAAGAGAGAATGTGGAGGCTCTGTGTGGAATTGCGAAGTCGACGAAGAAGAACAAGGAGTTTGGCTACATCGGAGAGAAAGGTATAGGATTTAAGAGTGTATTTGTGGTCTGCAAACGCCCTTGTATTTTGAGCGGGGGATATCGGTTCGGCTTTGACGAGTCCCCGGATTTGGATGCTGGCATTGGCTACATTGTCCCGACATGGCTCGATGAGAATACGGCAAATGCCTCTCAGCTGCGCAAGTTCTATTTGCAAGACGCATTTCGAACAGCAATCCTATTACCGCTTAAGCCAGAGAAAGGGAAGCATGTCTGGAACCAACTGTGGGAAATTGCTCCAGAGACGATGCTTTTCCTCAGAAAGCTGCAACTCTTAGTGATTTACGATTTGGTTAACGGAAGTTTCACTGCATTTGACAGGAAGCTTGACAAGAAAACCGGCGTGGTGGAATTGAAAAGAAACACAGTTGCAACAAAAGATTCTGTGCGGTATTGGCTATACCAAGCTGTATTCGATGTGCCGTCGCAGATTGTCGAGGAGAAGAGGGTTGGCATTACTAAATGGACAATCTTCGTAGCTTTTCCATTTTGCAAAAGTGGGAACACAGGCGAAGATGCACATGATGTCTTCGCTTTCCTGCCTACAGAGGTTAGAAGTGGCTGGCCTTTTCTGATCAATGCGGACTTCTTGCTCATTGCATCACGTGAGGCGATCCTGTTCGATAGACCGTGGAACGTGGGGCTGCTGCAATGTATGCCAATAGCCTTTGTAGAGGGGTACTTGGATTTACAGAGAAGAGAAAGGTCATGCGTTTCGACTCTTGCGTCTAAGCAATACGACGTCTTGCGGTTTGTGCCACTGCATACTGTCAGCAAAGGTTTGGAAAGTGTGAGGAAACAGATGATTGCTTGTCTTAGGTCGCATGAAGTTATCCCTGTGTCAAAGTTGTTTAAAGAAGGAGAGAATGCAGCCGCAGGAGCTTCAAGGGTGTCTCCGTCTGCGTTCGGTCGGAGCTCTCGAAGCAGCAGCTCTGGTACACCTTCGTTGACATCGGGTAGAAACTCAGCTCCGCTGGAAAATGCAGGAACAGCTGACATGGGAGGCAGCATGCAGAAAGGGAGGGGTGAGAACCTGGGGGCAAACACGGCAGATGAGGTGTTCGCATGGTGTAACCCGAAGTATGCGAGGATGGCTGATCCTATCTTTGTTGAATTCTTGTGGAGGGTGAAGAACGCAGGGTACCCCATTCCTTTTTGGTTTGGTACGAGAAAGGAAAGGGGTGGCCGGAGTTCTGCGCCTTCCACAAGCGGGAAAGAAGGGGGATTGAAGTGGAGGATGTATCTTGTTGATGAAGACGCTCAGCAGAGGTATTATTTCCAGCTTGTGGAGTTGGGAGTGCAGTCTATGAGCAAAAAGTGTTATTGGGACTGTGTGGGACTCGGTGACTGGTGTGAAAACCTCAGTGATGGTCTCTATGTGGAGCTGCTTGCGGTTTTTGCAAACGGCCAGTTTTCGGGAAAGGAGGACATGGCGCAGAACGGGGTTAAACTTCTCCGCGTGGATGGGGAAGAAAAACTGTCTGAATCGACAAGTGAAAGACCTGTATATCTGCCACCTGTTGAGCGGGATGACTGGTTGACCACGTGCATCGAACAGCTGCAGACAGTAGCGCCAGTGCGGCTCTTTTCGAAGAGAGTGTACAAGACTCTTTGCTGCTCCTCTTCAGGCTTGTCCATTGTTGGCATGCTGCAAAAGTTCTTGAATGTGAAAAGACTCACTGCGGAGAGCTATGCGTCCCAGGTCTTTCAAGCTTCACTTCAGCTAGCGGACCCAGAGAAAGTTCTTTTGGTCACCGACTTCTTCCGCAATGCCCTTGAACGGTACGCATTGCCTGTGCCAACCACCATTACTCGGCTCTCGATGATTCCTGTACTAGAAGAAAATGGCCGCATCATTCTTCGGGGAGCGATGCACTGGCGGCAGGGTTCTGGATTGGTTCCCACACCAGTAAATTCCATGCCAGTGCTCATGCCTCAGTCTATTAGCAGGTGGCCAGCTCTGCTGGCAGGTGAAACCAGTTGGGAGGGAAAGGTAATCAAGCTGTCTAAAGCATACTTGCGGAACTCTGCCCCCCAATTTCATGGAAGTGGGGGGCAGCAGGTTCATCACGAGTTACAAGACCTTCGCAGCAAACGTGAGGATTTCATCAAAAGGTATTTGAGAGCTGTGGATCTTTTCAGTCTTGAACCATCAAGTGACGCGGGATTGCAAATCCTTTACCGTTCCCCGCCTGAAGGCCTCCCTGCCAAGAAGGCCAAGATACTGATTGAGTGGCTCGGATACCTGGTTGTGAAATATGGTCTGACTTGCGGGATCTCAAGAGGGAGTCTAAAAGTTATCGTCTTCCTCCGTTTTGGCAGGCCATCCACCAGTGTTCCTGGGTGCCAACATCATGTGGGGGCCGGAGACCTGTTGAGGCGTGGCTTCCTCGTAAAGAGATAATTGACGTTCTTGGTGATGCCATGCCAATGGTTGTTCATGATGCATTAGTACTCACTGAAAGAGGGATGAAAACTCTGCAGCGAATTGGCATAAAAACAACCATCACTGCGGAAGATGTGTACTCTCACCTATGGCAACTTTCTCAAAACCCTGCATCTCAGACTACTGGCTTGCCTGTACAAGTTCTTGAGGAAGGAGAGATGGACAGTCGACAGGGGCCGCAACTTTCCTGTTTGGTATTGTCCACTGAACAGTCAGCCAAACGAAAGTGCCAGATGGTGCGAGCCATCGGACTGTGTGTGGGAGGACGAGGATGGCTTGTTCGCTGACAGCTTACCAGTACTCAAGGGCGTGTATGCAAACGAGATGCAGCAATGGTTCAAACAGATAGGTGTGCATGCACAGCCGACGGTTGACCACTGCCTTCAGATCTGGCTGGACCGGACTCAACACCACAGAGCTAGGGAGGATGCATCTTATGTGGACACCAACTTCGCAGGAAAAGTCTGGGGCCTGATTGCTCGATCGGCCAACGAGGCTCAGAAGTCCAAGGTCTGGGCAGTGTTCTTGAAGACAGCAATGCTCCCAGTTGCCGTAAGGGCAGGTGAAAGTGATGATGGTTGTGATGGCTCTGCTGGAGGCAGGCAGGTTAATAAGCAGACATCGTCTGCAGCTGCAGCTGCAGCTGCTGGACGTTCAAGGCTTCGGCTGGGCAAACCGAGCAGGTTGTTTATCCCTGATGATTTGCTGCTGGAGAAGGTCTTTGTTGATTGCGATCCCACTCTGCCATTGGTCTGGCTTCCAGACACTGCCAATCCGCAGGAGTTACACATGCTATTCCACCTGTGCACGGCCATGGGGGCACATTTGTTGAGTGAAGCGAGCACGACCAAAGTGTTCCGAAAAGGAAAGAGCTTACCGCTCCCTCTGCCGTCCAATCTTCACGTTGAGCTACAAACAGGTCATAGCGCTCCGGAGCCGGTGCTTGGAGATCCTCTTTTCACTGCAGTGTTGGGATGTTGGTACTTGCCAGGGGTGATGGATCAGTACGATCGGGAAGAGTATCGTACGTGCGTCTTTTCTCTTGTGAAGGCAAGAGAGTGTCTTGTTGAACGAATGGAGGTTGAGCATGTTTTACTGAGCCAGTCAACCAAAAACGGCGAAGGATTGTCGCCACACGTTCGCGTGAAAACACTGGGGCAGTGCACAGCCTATTGGGACAAAGAAGAGAACATCATTTACCGAACTCTGGAGCCCATGACCGATCGAGCTGCAGAGTCGCACGGAATGGATTCGCTGAGCGCATTGCAGAATTAGCCCAGGCTGTGTCAGGTGGCGTTCTCCCTTCGCATCATAAAGATTTGGTGAAGAAATGTGCAGAATTCTTGCGAAGCTTTCTGTTGCCTCGCCTGCTGACCATGGAGGCAGTGGAATACTTGCTTAGGCAAAACAACATTCGGTTGTCAAAGGTGGATCGTCAATTCATTCAAGATGCGAAGGTGTCACCAACGATAAATCAGAAAGATACACAAATGGATGAGAACACTGGTGCAGCTAATGGCAATGCAAGTGATGAAGAGGGAATGATGGCGGATGGACACGGGGATGGAGATGTGGTCGTCAATGCCATTACGATTCCATTGCCATTATCCGCTGCTGGCAATTCGGGTGCAGAATATTACTCGGATGCCTCTGCTGCTGAGCCTAAAACTGTGCAGGAAACCATAATTGAGGTCATGGAGGGAGAACTCAACCCCATGGCATCACCTTCAACAATAAGGGAAATGGAACAGGGACAGTGGAATGCTGGCCACCGTGGCCGGCATTCTGGAAGCACGCAGTCCTCAGGCTGTCCAATGGAGAGCGTTGCCGTACCTTCTGCAGGGGTCAGAGGAGAGAAGAAAACGCCACAGTCAGGTGCGCAAGTCAAGACGAGAGACGAGCTCGCCACGAGCAGAGCCGATGCGATTATGGAGGTCGCAACTTCTCAAGAAGAGGGTGCGCCCTCTGCACCTGTTGTTGTGGAGTCGGTCAGGAGGAGAAAATATGCTAACTTAAGAGGAGTATATGACTTCCCAAGAAGGTGCCGCCTCTGCACCGGCATTGAGCCGGCGCGCTCGTGCCGCTCCTGCCTCGAAGGGTCTTATTTTTGTTTGTGACAACTCAGACGAGAGAGTAGTCATGATGCCAGCAGATGACGAGGGGTTGAAACGGAATATGCGGGCTGCGTTAAAGGTCGTGAATGACAGGATGGGTAATATTGAAGGAGATCCCAAGCAGGCAGTCTTTTTCCCCGACAACAATTACTCCGCACTTCACTGGTGGGTAGAGAAGTCCCTGCCCAGAGTGAGGGCTATACTTGGTCTGCCGCTACACGTCGATGGGATCGCAGATTCCTTCAACCGCGCTCTGATGCTAGCATTCCTCCATCCTTCATACTTTGGGACGCGAATGCCCAGCTATGAGCGGCTTGAATTCTTTGGTGACTCTATCCTAGATGCTTGTGTGGCCGATCGTCTGTTCTGCATGCACCCGAAGGCCCACGAAGGCGTCTTGACAGAGATGAGGGCGATGTTGGTATCTAATCGTGTGAATGCGATGTGCACCCATGCTGCCGGCTTGGATGAGTTCATTATAATGGCTGATTTCGAACGGGAAAATAACCAGGAACTTCCGCCAGGAAACGAAGCCCAGACGGGACAAGTAACTTCCCCATGGGGTGTTCCCATGAAGGTGATGGCTGATGTTTTTGAAGCAATTGTTGGTGTGTTTTTTCTCTGGTATGGACCTGCCGATGTCACAAAACTCTTATTTCATTTCTTCTACCCACGTGCTCTCTTCTCTGAGTGCATTGATTGCAGTGGAGTCACGATTGAGTAAGCCTATGACGGTCCGTCGACAGAAGCTGACAGAACTGTCTTTTCATGAGTGCCGGTAGTGGACAGAAGTGTCTTCCCATGATCGCCAGAAGCATGTTTTCTGACACCTGCACCCTAAATAGGCATGTTTGCTGACCATTACCCTCGTTCTAGATGCCATAAATCCGATCTCAGCTGTTCCGTGTCCTGATCGGAAATCTTTCCCACTGCAACTGTCCTTCATCCCAAATCGACATCCGCTGTGCTGCCGATAGGCATCGTTTGCCCAGTGGCACCATCGCCCCCCTTGTGGATGCCATAAAGGAGGTGTGCTTTTGCTGGCGGCCATTTTGGCATTTCTCCCTCATGGATGAGGTGGACCTGGCAGTGATCACCAGGGTCGGTGAGCAAGTCAAGGGGTTCAATTTCTTCCTTAGCGAGGCTCAGATGTTGCAGGCGCAAACTCCAAGCAATGCTAAAGGCTTGTTTTCTTATGTGTTGCCCAAGGAACGAAAGGGTAAGCAGTCAGGTCAGCAAACTTTCCTACATTCAAGCTGCAACTGCTCGGCTGGGAGTGCGGATGAATTAGCAAGTCTTCGTGTGGCAAGAAAACCCTGCAGGGATGACATTCGAGGAGGAGCTTGTGAGTGTTATGAAATAGGCTGTAAAATAGTCGGAAGAATGGATTGGTGTATAGAAGGTTTCGACAGGCTGCCTATTTCACAAGAGGCGCTTAACAATCGATTGGTGTAGAAGGGGTTTCAACAGGCCGTCTCTTTCACAAGAGGCACTTCAAGTTGGTGGTTTGAAAGGAATTAGCTAGCACTGAGGGCATACTCACAGTACGCAGTATGTGGTCGTATGTTTGATTCTTGTTGATTGTATCGGTTCCTCTGTGGTTCTTCAAAGTAGCCACATTGTGAAATTGACAACTTTGGCTGGTTTGTTCTCCGGTTGTTATTTTGACTAGGGTCGTTAACCGCCCGTGGGATCCAGGTCAGTTTTCTCTTTTTCCCCTTTCTGTGCGACCCTGGTCTTTCTTCCCCCCCACCTACCCCTCCTCTCCGACCCCCTCTCGCCCCCCCTCTCCCCCCCCGTTATTTTCTGTGGGAACTTTCTCCTGGAGCAGCAGGGTAAGGAACTTCGATGAAGTTGTGGAATGGAAATCTGTGGCCTCAGCACTTCACGCTGACTTAGCTTGCTGGTCCGATCCTACCCAGCTCCAAATTTTCGCTGTCGCTAACTGTTTCTGATCTTTTTTTTTTTGTGTGTGTGTTTCTCATCTTTACTTTTTCTGTAATACATGGAGTGTTAACACAATGCAGATCTGATGACCAATGGAGAGAGACTTAGGCTTAACATTGATCGGGGGATGGGGAGGCCATCTAAATGACCTTTGAACTCACTGCCACTGCTTGTCTTGGATCTTTGGGTTTTTCCTTTTCTGTTTTCTTTCGTGGTTCTCTCCCGGCTGTCACTGTGATACAAACTTATAAAAAGTTCACACATCCGCCGTGGTTCAAATAGTCACCTCGCCTGGCAAGCCACATACATAGTGCTGATTGGGCAGACTGTCATATGACACAATTTTATTAGTCATAGACCAGTTGGGGTCTAGGGTATGGGGGCGAAGGGTTTAGGGTTTAGGGTGAAGTTTGTATGGTTTACGGTTTAGGGTTTAGTGTTTAGGGTTACGATATTGGGAATACCAGAGAGAGGGAGAGACAGAAGGCATTCCCCACGTGCGCGCGCGCGCGAGAGAGAGAGAGAGAGAGAGAACGAGTTATCTGTTGAGTGGTGGAAGGCGGCCGTATTCGATGTGTATAGCGGTTGATCATTCTTTGATTTCCGATAATAATATTTCAAGATTCTCATATAATTGTGTTTTACATCTCATATCTCATGTGTGGAGCTTCGTGTGACGACGTGTGAGCTTGCATGGACGTCTAAATTTGTGTAACTCAGCAAAATCATAACACGAGAAATGTGAAAAAACAAGCAAACAACAAGAGAAATTATGTCATTCTGTATGGGCACTCCCAATGGTTACATTCCCTTTGCACACTCCCTCAGTGTCATTGACACTCTTCCATGTAATGATAGCTCTTATTTGACGTCACTACTACGACCATCACGATTTGCGTTTTTTACTGCCCCTCCCAGCAGGTGTTTTTCACTTTTGCTTCCTAAGCTTTCCTTGTTTGTTTGTTTGTTTTTTCCCCCTTGACGGTTTTGTTTTGTTTGTTAGTTCCTTCTAAGTAATTTGTATCATGCTTGTCATTTCTTTTGCCATGATGGGTTTTTTTTTTTCTGTTTTCAGGGTCTTGCTTCTGTTACCACTTCTTTCTCAGGACTTCTATAACTTTGCCGCCATCGCTGCAACTCTAGCTCCCGGCTTTGGTGAGTCAGGGTGGTGGGCTGTCATAATCTGTCCGTCTCTATTTAAAAGGCTGATGTTACTTTTTGAGTAGGGTCATCTTCTCCTTTTTCTTTTTCATCTCCTCCTCCTCCTCTTTCTCTGTTTTTTTTTTTTTTTTTTTCGAACATAAGTTGCAGAATAAGAAGTCATGTCGATGCAAAAAGTAAAAAACTGCTATGAACTCTATTTGCAGTAAGATGAGAAGAAAGAAAATACAGAAAAGGATGCAACTGCCGGAATGATTGCTTGCTATGGGGACTGACGGACGCAGGATGTAGAGGGTGGAATCACAGGTACATTGTCAATGGCTTTACTAGCCTCGGGTGTACTCTAGGGGAATATAGAGGGGAGTAAGTGCTGGGAGCGCCGTAGCGCGCCTCGTACTTCTTTTGATAATACTCCGTCCTCGTTGGGGATGGAGTTCGTTCGTACCGCCCGGAAAATGAGTGGCGTGGGTAGGCTCCCCTTGAGTGGTCCCATACCCATACCTCTCTTCTTCCTCCTCATCCGAACTGTAGTGCCTTCTGGCACGCGCCACAGGCTCTTCAGGAGCCTTTCCACCCCTACCACCTCTTCCTCTTCCCTGTCCTCTGCGTGCTTCAGGCATGATGTGGGAGATTCCTGAGTATCAAATGAAGAGACGAGTTAAATTATCAAAAGGAAGAAATTGTTTAACTATGGTTGACAATGTACGAGGAAAAAAAAAAAAAAAAAAAAAAAGTACTGTTGTTGTACTATACTAAGACAAGGCAACGCTACAAACGAGAAGTAAGTGTACCACAAAAGAGCAGTAATTGGGAACAAATTACCACCGTTAATTTACCATGAGAGTCTCACGATATGCTATATAGATGAAGTGCACGTTTAAGAAAAGAAGAAGAAGGTAGCTAGACTGTTCTCGCTGAGTCGCTATACTGTACACCAAGAATAGTCGCGCTGTAAAAAGAAGAGGATGAAAGCGCTTGTACTGTTGTAACTGAAAATCAACAGCTAGCGTGGATTCACTTTGAGGATCTCATTGTTAGGATGCTGAGACAAGGGATGATAATTGTGCTTGTAGTCTCTACTCTTTTTATACTAATTTCCAGGCTGTTTTGGCCCAGCGGGGACGCTAGGCGGGGGTTTGGTATCATGTCAGAGGGCGCGGAGTCCCGGCCCTCTGTGGTGTACCAGACACCCCCTTAACGCACTGCCACGCGGTTTTGCTCGACTGTGAGCATGGTCCAATCTGCACGTGAGTCGCATTGGGGTACGCCAGGTGGATTACATGCGCGGCCAAATCTGGGACCCGCCCTGGCGGGCGCCTCCACCAGCAAAAGGAGGGGGTGCGCCACTGGGCTTTCCATTTGTCCGTGCAGGCTCGGCGCCCTGCTGTACAGCAGAGCATGACCGGCCTGTGGCCGCCGAGTTCGCCCAGGGGACACGAAAGTGGAAGGACCGCTGCTGTCTTTTCAACTGCGCGCCGAGTCCTGTGCAGTCGAGTTATGGGATAGGTGCAGTGATTGTGAAAATAAAATAAAAAAAATGTAAAGAAAAAATAATAAAAGAAGAAAAGAAAAATGAAAACAAAACGCTGTGTTTCATATCTGCGTTCGAATCTGGACCGTTACTTCAGAATCATCGGAGGTCTTTAGCGGTCGTGGAGCCAGAGATTCTATAAAGTTGTCTTTTATTATTTCTTCTCTTTTATTTAGTCCTGTCAAACTTTTAGTTCCCCTCTTGACACTCTTGTCATTTCAGCGGGGGAACGGACGGTTCACTTTCAAATTTTTGAGCCGTGAGTGAGCGATCCAGAATAGTCCTGATTCCTTTCATTTCCCCTTGTAGCGGGTGTGGTGAACCATTCGTCGTGGGCCAGGCCCTAAAAATAGGGTACCTGTTACATCTTCGTGTCACACGGGTCCTACCGGACCCGACTTAGGGCCGGAGGGACACATCAGGGCCTAAAGGCCCGACCTTGGGGTATTACAGGCCCTCACGGCCTGATCTTGGACCAGTACCCAACGGGCAGGCCCAAACGGCATTATCGTTTGGGCCTGGCGGCGCTCTTGAGGCTGCCGCCTGCCGGTTGGGGCTGAACCGTCCATCTGGACGGTTCAGGGCATGGCCAGGCCTC